CACAAAAATTGAAAAATTACATTTGTAAAATATCTGAAAGCAACACGTTTTTCAGTTCAACTGTACATACCCTCACCGGCCACTTTTTTAGGTACACCTTGCTAGTACCGGGTAGGACCCCCTTTTGCCTTCAGAACTGCCTTAATTCTTTGTAGCATATATTCAATAAGGTGTTGGAAACATTCTTCAGAGATTTTGGTCCATGTTGACATGATAGCATCACGCAGTTGCAGATTTGTCGGCTGCACATCCATAATGCAAATCTTCCATTCCACCACATCCCAAAGGTGCTCTATTGGATTGAGATCTGGTGACTGTGGAGCAGGGTTGTAAGGATTAACCGGTTTTACGATAACCACGGTGTGATAACATCAGGATTTCATAACATTGTAAAAACTACGATATCTAACTGCCTCTCGCGAGTCACGTAATTTCTGTGTGCCTTGGGGTGAAATCTTTCGCGAGTCACTTTTTGTGTGCGCGAGCCACTGACAAATTAGTTGAGAAGAGGGAACTGACTTAACGGCCTTATTTCCACCAATGAACTTCATCAGAGGAATTCACAGGAGAAAAACTTGTTTACTATCGGTTTCTGACCAGGAGTGTGCGTGACCCTCTCTCTTCCTATTAACCATTATAAATGTATCCGAGAGTTTAATCCACCTGTACTAAAAAGTAAAAGTATAATAAGGACATGAAGAATGTGGCTCGAACCAGGACACCTTTAGTTTTTCAAAACTAGTTAATTTTTCGCTCCCATAACAGAACAACTCCTGTTGCTGACCCTTCAACAATACTCAGGTAAGCTGTGGCGTTTAAACGATGCTCAATTGGTACTAAAGGGCCCAAAGCATGCCAAGAAAATATCCCCTACACCATTACACCGCCAGCCTGAACCGTTGATACAAGGCAGGATGGATCCATGCTTTCATATTGTTTATGCCAAATTGTGCCCTTATCATCTGAATGCCACGGCTGAAATCGAGACTCATCAGACCAGGCAACGTTTTTCTAATCTTCTATTGTCCAATTTTGGTGAGCCTGTGTGAATTGTAGCCTCAGTTTCCTGTTCTTAGCTGACAGGAGTGGCACCCGGTGTGGTCTTCTGCTGCTGTAGCCCATCTGCTTCAAGGTTTGAAGTGTTGTGTTTTTTCAGAGATGGTATTCTGCATACCTTGGTTGTAATGAGTGTTTATTCGAGTTACTGTTGCCTCCTATCATTTCGAACCACTCTGCCCATTCTCCTCTGATCTCTGACATCAACGAGGCATTTTCGTCCATGCAACTGCTGGTCACTGGATATTTTCTCTTTTTTGGACCATTCTCTGTAAACCCTAAAGATGGTTTTGTGTGAAAATCCCAGTAGATCAGCAGTTTTTGAAATACTCAGACCGGCCCGTCTGTCACCAACAACCATGTCACGTTCAAAGTCACTAAATCCACTTTCTTTGCATTGAGTTGCCGGGACTATAATCATTGGTTTAAATTTTGGTGCCAATTGGACAATGCACAGTGGTGTTTAAACCACTACATTTAAATTTTGGTGCCGATTAATTTACGTATATTTATTGTTTGTAAATTATTTTGATCATCACTACTATTTGATGTAATATCATTTGTGCATAATGTGCCTTGTTATTTTGTTGTATTTGTCATGAATTCAATGCTTGATAATTGTACGATTCAAAAAAGAGAAAAAAGAAAATAATTCCTGGCTCGCTAGGTTTCCTGCTAACAGCGCCCCCACGCACCACACACAACACACCACCACGCAAGTGTTTAAAAACTGCTATTAACTTATCCACAGTTTGATAAACCATCAGTAAACAAATACCTATCCACAGTCACATCAGAAACGGTTATATTTTCAGTATCATGAGTTGTGTATCATGTTATGTCACGCTATAAAGGGAACCTGCTCGAAGGAAACCAAGATATCAAGGTATTGAATCCATGACAAATA